CACGGGTGCGGGAGCCTGGGCCATGTTCCTGAGGTGATGGCCTGAATTCCTGGATGGTCTCAGGGCAGGATGTTACAGCGTCGCTCTGAGCATTGTCACTGAAACACAGACCCAAACGACGCAGCCCTTCCAGGCCCACTCTAGGGCACGTGTTTAATACGAGGGAAGAGTCATTAGCAAACCGGAGCTGCCTGCTTTAATTATGAAGGAAAACCTATTTAGAGAAAAGAACACAAAGCCAAGATCGGCCACTTCAGGGCCAAGAAAACAATCACAGGGACCACAGGAGTCTTTGCAGGAGGCGGCGGCCCCGCGGGGCCACCCCCTTGCTGAGCAAACATCCCCACCTCGCCATGCGGAACTCAGTGTGGGCCTCCCACGTGAGGGCCAGGGACCCAGGCAGTAGAGCCCGCACCTGCTGCCTTTGCCTCCCAGGGTGCACATGAGCAGGAAGCTGGAATGGTCGGTCAGTGGAGCCGGGACTCGAACCCAGGCCCTCTGATACGGGATGCGGGCGTCCTAAGTGGCCACCTCACTGCCGTGCCACACGTGCCTACCCCGGTAACGCTCTCCCAAGAAACGGTTTTCTACTCATCACAGATGAGTGCTGCTCTTCCCGAAAGTCTTTGCGACGCCAAAAAGTCAGAACGGAAGGGAACACAACACAGCGCCATCGCCGCGGGGCTCGGCCGCCCGCCTTGCTCTTTCTACGCCTATGTGGGGAGGGGCGGTCACCACCTAGATGCACTTTGTTCAGATTCTGCTTTTCTCGCTAAACACATCGTAGCCACTCTGCCGGTATTAAGCACTCTGAGCAAGCAGGATTTTAATGCCTTCGTACAAATCCACGGCAGATGTTCACGTCCCCTGATTTTCCGGGACACTGTGATCTCTCCCCCGGCTCCCGGCGCTGCACACGTGCCCGGCTCAGCTCTGCGGCTCTTGCTTCACCCTGCCAGTGATTCCTCCAAGTTCACGGCAATTTATCCCTTCGCCTAGCAACACAAGTCCTCCCACAACGGTATAGTAATAACAACCACAAAAAAGTCTGCTAACCTGAAAATAAGAATGCGCGCCTTGTGTTCTCTGCCCTCTGCCCCAGGAAGCACTTCCAAGTGGCTCTCCTGTATCCTGGGGCTGCAGTGCTGCCCTGGACAGCCTGATCCAAGCCTCTACATGGAGCAGAGCATGCCGGGGGCAAGGCGCGGACGCACTCCGTACCTCCCCTTCCCTGCCCGTAAGTGGGGGGCGACGGCAGGGGTGGCCGTGAGAAGGAGACGGGACAACGCAGTGCCAGGGAGGGGTGCTCCCAGGCGCCACCGGCGAGGTCTTGCTGCAATCGCCATCGTCCTGTGGCTGTTCCCCCACGAGCTGTGTTCCAAGCAGCTGTTCCGAGGTGGGGTACTCGGCTCGTGAACGGAACTCCAAGAACAGAAGTTGGGTTTCCAGAGGTGGACTTTGGCCAGAAACACAGTCGTGGTCCCCAGACCAGCTCAGCACGGCACCTGCTGCCGACAACCATGCTAGAAGATGGGTGAGCAGTGTGGATCAGTGGGGGGTGGGGGTGGGCTCAGGGTCTCACTGGCTGGGGCCCCTTGTGGCTTCCTCTAAGCTCCTGCCCCTTGGTTCTGACTCAGTAGGGTAGTCAGGGGCCAGGTCCCTATGCTGCTAACAGGCCCGAGGGACTCTGCTGCCCGGCCAGGCTCCCTTGGCCCAGGCTGCTGCCAGCGCCACACGATGTCAGGGGACATCCCAACCCCGCACACCTTGATTCCTTGATGCCCAACCTCATCTGGGAGCCCTCCATAGCCTCCTTATGACACGTCTTAACTTTTGGAAGTGACCTCTGACCTCTCACTCCCACAGGGACAACCCCAAAGGGGCAGCTGATGGAACCATCCCTGGAGGCTGACTCTCCCTCGGAACCCTCTGACCGCAGATCCTGACATCTTGAAAACCAGCTTGGACTGTGTGTCCTTTCTCCTGGCTGGTGGAGCCCCGCCCCCACCTCTCCCCTGCACAGTGGCAAAACCCTGTCCTGACCCTGTCCCCAGTCCCCGGAAGGGTTCAAGGCTGTTGCTAGCTGGACAAGGTCAGCACTTCAGCTGGTCTGAAAATGGTAAACACATCCGGGCTCACAGCCACAAATCCAACCAGACACGGGTTGGAAGCGCTCGGAAGAAGACTGGCACCTGCACGGAGCACGTGTGTGCTTTGTGATCGCCTAAACAGCACGCTGGGGCGGCCGCTTACAGAGCAGTCACATTGCATCAGGCATTACAAGTCATCTCCAGATGACTGGATGCCAGCAGCCTCCGTGCAAACGCTATGCCACTTTGAGGCCACAGATTCCAGTATCATACGGCAGGGTGGTCCCGGGACCACCACGGGCGCACGCATACCCTCTCACCCACCTCTGAGACGATTCTTTATGACAATCAACTCACACCCCAAGACCCATCGTGTGGTCCTCGTTCTGCATTTGAAGACAGCCGCCTGCTGCTACTCACTGCTCCCGACTTGGGTGGCAGGTGCACAACCAACAAAGGGACAAACTCTCCCTGAACGCTTCCTTGGGTAGGGCAGAAACACACCCCAGAAATACCCAAGAAAACCGCCGTGACAGGAACCCCTTGGCTCCAGGTCCCGGGGCCAGGCAGGGGCCGGCGGCAGCGCTCGCTCCCGGTGCTGCCCTTGCGGCGTGCGTTTCTTAAAGAGGAAACAATGCCCTGACATACTTTCCAGGTGCAGCGCGAGAGGCCAGCTCGCCCAGGAGTCTGCCAGGAAGCGAGGACAGGCGGCCCCTCCCACGGAGACCGCGGGCCCTCAAAGGCTCGGGAACCGCCCCCACCAGGGAGTCTGGCGCCCAAAAGAACGTGCACTCGGGACATGCGGGCTGTTTGAAGTCACCCCTGCGAGGCTGGAGGTTTTTCATGGAAACCACAGAAAAGCGACCTGTTGGGGAAAAGCCTGTGTCTGCAGAACTAGAAGTGACCTTACATTCTCAAGGCTAAATGCAAAAGCCAGGGACCAACTCAGCAGCGAGTGGCCGGCTTACGTCAGCCCACCTGCTGGGGGACTTCAGAGCCCCCACCCCCACCTGGAAATCAACTGGGAGAAGCCATGCTCCCCCCAGTGCCCAACCCCTGTGCCCTGCACCCGCCTTGGTGTCTGAGCTAAGAAGTTCTGCGGGGCTGTGAGGGGCCGGGTTGTCCTGCAGGCCACCTACCACTTCACAGGGCCAGCCCAGGGAACCCTGGGAGGCAGAGGTGGCCTTGGGCGTCCCACCTGCTCCACGACAGCAAGATCAGAAGAGGGGCCTTGAAGAGAGAAGCGCAGGGACCCCCAACCTCAGCCTGGCGCACGGCCTTTGTGGACACCTCGGCGCAGGCGTAAAGGAAGAGCCAGGGACCCGGCACAGGTGCCTCCGGTGTGCACGTGTCCTTTATCAAGGGAATGACCCAATGAGTGGACCATGGGGCTGCTCCTACACTTTCAGCCTTCACAAATTACTGACCACCAAGAACCGGCACCAACCCAATAGGACCTCGGGGAGGCCTCCTCCCCGTGCCCAGCACCCTGCATGCGCACACGCCCACCGCAGACTCCAGCGCCGCCTCCCCGGCCAGGCCACGCCCCCTCCCTGTGTCTCTGGCTGTCACACACAGGAAGGGGACTGACATCACCACCGCATCCCACAGAAGATGATTCAACTGCTCTGTGCATCTCCACGAGGGTTACAAATCGAGTTAACCCAGGGAGCTGCAGCGGCTCCGTCTCCATCATTCTGGACACGCACCCGACAGTCACAGCACACAGAATCCAAATTAGCTCGTTCCTTGCCCCAACCAGGCTGGGACTGGGCTATCGTAACTCAGATACATCCCCCAGCACAGAAAATGAAAGCAAGACAAGATCCTTGGGAAAAGGCAACACACTGCCATCTCCTTCGAACCGGCCCTTCTGGGTCTCCACCCCGCTTCAGTCGTCTGGAGCAGCACTTAGGAGACCGTGAGCGCAATCGCAGCTTCCAAAGCCACCTTGGTGGGGACAGTGTCATGGAGAGAAGCGGCTGCGCACGGCCAGCTCGCCTCGGGCTCAGATTGGTCTCCTCTGCAGGACGGGCGTGTGTCCGGCGGCCCGAGGGCGGGGACTTGTGCGGGGCTGGCCGGACCCAACACACCTGCTCCTTCCACCTGCTTGTGGCTTTCTGAGGCAGAGCACCCGGGACTCGGGGCGCACACTAAAGAGCCAAGAATCAAGAAAGTGAACTCCCACTGAGGGCCACCAGCATCTCCTTGACTTTTCAAAACTGAAGTCTTCCAACCTACAACTGCTCAGTTCCCCGAAGAGCAGCACACTGCTCTGCCCCACGAGGCACAAGGGAAGGCGGGGTGCCCAGCTGTGCCCTGGGCCCCACGGAGAGCGCAGACATGGGACACGGCCCTCACATCCGGCAGGCTCCTCAGCGCACAGAACGTGCCCTGCTGAGCGCCCAGTGCCTCTGAAGTCAGACGCTTCCTCCTGGTGCCACCGACTCCAGCTGTCCCCGGGCCTCTGTGCCTTCGAAGGCCACTGTCTGCCCAACTGCCAATCCACGGGCTCCCAGCCACCTGTCACCAACCTCACGCCAGGGAGTGCCAACCAAGACTGTGGTAACTTGCCCTCAGGACACATGGGGTGAGGACGGCCACATCCAGACCGCCACGAATCTACCCGTGTCCCCAGCGTCACGGCAAACACACACCACTTCTTTCCACCTCTACTTCAAGACCACTGGCCAAGGCTCACGGCCACGACTCCCAGGCAGAGTCTTAGACGCCAGGCTCCAGGCCCACAGGAAGGAGCGCCCACTGCAGAGTAGCACAAGTCCACGGCTGCCTCCAGCAGCAGCTCCCGGTCTGGCCCCGCAGCCACGCTGCCACCGAGACCACCGAGCCTTCTCCCAGATGAGAGCCGGCGCTCTCCGCATGCAAAACGACAAACACCAGGGTCCCTACCTCAATCAGGAAGTCCCCGGTCCGCAGCCCGGCTTGCCATGCCACCCCGCCCTCGTCCACGGACTCCAGGTACTGCAGGGCCGGGAAGGCGGGCGTGGGTGTGAATTCTTCAATGGGCGTGTCAGCTGGGAAGAGAAGGACGGCTTGTTACAGCTTGTTGTGAGCCAGGGGGGTGTCCCCCCGAGGTGGCTGTGCCTGACCTCCCCACGGGCGCCGGGAGTGTGAGGCTCCCCACGCCGACCACCAGCAGGAGGCCGGTTCAGGTCGCCTCCGCGCTGGGAAGAGCTGGAGGGACGGCTGCTCCTGGGCCAGCACCAACTTCAGCGCTGACGCCAGCTGCGCGCTGGGGCTGCCATGTTTCGTGGCCTCCATGCTGAAGCCACGGAGGGCCATGCTCCGCGGTACGTGGCTGCAGGCCTGTCGTTTTTTTAAAGGCATCAGTGACTAAACATTTTGAGCTCTAAAAATGGAAAAGTTCCTCCTGTACCACACGGAGCTACAGAAACCCCACACGGAGCCGCTCGGCAACTGTACGTCCACGGTGAGTGGCAGCCCAAGGACTTCGACCTGGGACGTGGGCCGAGCTCCACGCTCACTCCGGAGGTGGCGGCAGATGTGAGCCCCCTCCACGGGGAGCCGGCTCTCCAGGACTGCCCTGTGGCTGGCGTCCACACCGGGGCTGGACCACTGCTCCTGGGCAGGGTGAGGCCTGGGTTCCAGGGTGCACACAGCTGCTGCCAGTGCCTCGAGGGCTGGAGCTGGCCTCTGCCAGGCCACCGTGAGTGGGTGGGGGGTGGAGATGGCCCTGGTGGGGGAGGGGCAGCACATCACTCAGGGCCCTGGGGACAGGACCGGCTCTCCTTCCTCTCTCTGGACAGATCAGCTTGGGGCTGCCAGCCTGGGAAGGGGGCCCAGCCAGAAGCTCTGAGATGCAACTTCCCATGACCCCCCGCCCCCAACATACACACACACACACACACACACGTGTTGGGGGCAGGTGTCTCCTCTAGCAGGGAGGCAATGCCATTTTTTTTTTTTTTGGGCAAGGAAGCCCCCAAGTTCAGGGTAGGCGGTGGGCATGCTGCCATGGACGCCACTGAAGCCTCCCCCCGACAGGCCACGGAACGGGTGTGCTGCCGGCTCAGTGCACGGCAGAGGGGACCATCTTGCCACACTCCCTTTGCAAAGTCACCTTAGAGATGGGCACACGGCCACCTGCCAGCCTCGGGGCGGAAGCCCACTCCCGGGATGGGGTGGTTTCTCGGCACCTGAAACTCAGGGCCGGGGAATTCAGAGGCCAGGGGCTCTAAATGGAGCGACGATGTGGCTGAACAGAACCACAGAGCACCAGTGAGCCCGGCGATTTACAGAAAGTGGGGGGAGGGGGCTGAGAGAGGGAGCGAGCGATCGAGAGAGGGGGAGAGCGAGCCTGTTCGGAGCAGTATTGTGTATAGAAAACGAGAATTATTCCTAAAGGAAGCCCCGGTGTTTTCTGAGTGAGGCAGAAGATTAAGGAACACGGTTGTCTAGCAACCAGGTGGCCCCCAGCAAAAATGCTGCTGAATGCTCGGGCCCGGGAGCATTGTTCACACAGGCGTGCACACACACACACACACACACACACACACGAACGGCCCGGCTCCTACCTTTTGCCCCCCGGAGCACGAAGCCAAAGCCCTCGCTGTCTTTCTTCTGCAGGACCACTGTCTTCTCGTCGATGATGCAGTCGCTGTAGAGAGAATTCCGGGGATAGCGACCATTACTGTAGCCCGTCATCATCACGGCCGCGGCCCCTCCGCCGGGCACGCTCATCATCACCGCCGATTAATCACCCAGCTCGCTGGCCGGCCGCGGCAGCATGGAGGAAGCGAGGCGGCGGAGGGGGGTGCTGGCGGGATAGGCGGGCAGGGCACAATGGGACCGGCAGGGGGGGGCAGGCAGCGCCGGAGCCAGCCCAGGGAAGCAGTCACACATGGTGCAGCTCTGCCCTGCCTGGGGCCGGCCAGGCGGGGCGGGCTCAGGGCACCCTGGGGCCGGCAAGAGCCCAGAAAGTAAGTGGCCCGGGGGGCGGCGTTGGTGGCGGTGGCAGCGGCGGTAGCGGCGTGAATGGACTCTTCCGGCCTGGCTGGGCCAGACGCATCTTCCAGGGAAGCCCGAGGAAATCAGCCCAAGGAGAAAGGAGGCAGCCCGTTCCGTTTCGCTTTCTCTCCAAAGGGGTTAAAAAGATCGCGTTCCGTGCGCTCCCTGCACGAGCCGGCGGCGGGTGGCAGGCGAATCCAGACGCAGATCTGGTGTGCGGCATCCAGCCACCCCTACTCGCCCGTCCTAGCGAGTGTGATGTGCGGCAAGAAGCCCCACAGTCATCTGACGAGCCCAGTTGCCGACGGCAGCGGCTGCCTGGGCGTCATCCCGCACAGAGAATCCTCAGGCTGGGCTGGCGGCAGTGGGGAGGGGAGCGCAGGGCTGAGGCCAGGACGTCCGAGGCCAGCGGGTGGGCTGGCCGGCAGGGTGGTGGGGGGTGGGGAGTGGGGGGTTGGGGGAAGATGCTCTAGGCGGGGGGAGCCTAGTGATTTTATATCAAAGCCTCAGGCCTCTGTGGGGGCCGTGCATGCCAGGGGGTGGGGGGGGCTGCTGTTGGCCACCGTCCGCCTCCTGGCACGGCAGTTCTTTTTTTAAAGCAAAGAAACCAAAAACTCCAACTTGGCTTCCACCGCCAAAACCTGCTCTTCCTTTCTGCTGAGGGCACTTCACCATCTGATCAGCTCCCCCATCTGATCAGCTCCCCCCATCTGATCAGCTCCCCCAGGGGACAGGAGACCCCGCCCCACCGTGGGCCCTGCGACCTGGCTCCCTGGGGGAAGGGTGGCGCCAGACAGGGAAGGCTGCTGCACCCCAGGCTTCTGCCACCGGCCTGGAAGTCAGTGAGAGCTGGCAAGGCCTGGAGGGCAGTGAATGTTGAGGGAGGGGCTTTCCCTAGGGTCCCAGGGCTGGTGCGGGAGCAGTCAGGGCGGGGAGGACCCCAGGAGCAGAGGTGCAGACAGAGAGCACTGCAGGGGGCCCTGCCTCAGAGGGAGAGGCCTGGGGCGGAGACAAAGTCGGGAGCGGCACTGAGGCCCCGTGGGCGGAGGTCAGCTTCAGCTCAAGCCGGCTTCACTGTCCACGGCAGCTCGCGGCCCAGCCTGTGGCCAGCTGGTGAGCACGGCACACCCAGCCTGGGCACCCCTGGGCAGCCCTGGGCAGCAGCCCCCGGAGGTTCCCATTTCACAGATGAAGCCAACAAGGTTCAGAGAGGCTGGGGGTTGAAGCTGAGAGCACAGTGCTGTTCCCACCGCCCCCACCCGTACCAGGGCGGTGCAGAGGTACTGGCCGGTGAGGGTGTCCAGACGTGGGGCCTCTGGGGGCGCGCTAGAGGTTGCAGCCCGACACCAGCTCTGCCTACCATCCCAGAGACAGGCTGCGGAGTACAGGAAGCCGGGTGTGGCCCTGAGTCCCTCTCGGCCTTATCCCCTGCAGCCCACCTGCCCTGCCTGGGGCCAGCAGTGAGGGGCTGCAGCACGGTCCGGGACAGGCTCCGTGAGGACACGCTCGTGGCTGCAGGATCTCCGCAGAGTGGGATGTGGCTGTGGCCATAATGGTGCGGTGTTGTGACAGCACCCCAGGGAGCCATCCTCATAACCACTGTCAGTGCTGAGGGCAGCCACAGGAGGAAGCGAGGAGGAGGGCTGGGGGCAGGGCCCTGTGACATCGAGGAGGGGCCCCACCAGGCCCCTTGACCTCTCTCCCATAGCCCCACCTCCCAAGACAGACTTCCGTCCCTCAGGGTAACCCTGCTGGCCACCCTTCTCTTCCCAGCTTCTCAGAGGGGAGGCAGCCCACCCTGCCTGGGGCTCACCTGGTGGCTGAGCAGGTGCAGACCCCTCTGGGAGCCTGCTCCATGGAAGGGTTCCTTAAAGACCCCAAAAGCCACAGTGCTCCACCCACCCTCCACCCTGCTCTGTGCAAGAGTCCCTCCTGCTGCTTGGAAGGATGAGGCCCCATCCAAGGTCCTGGGCCACCCGCCTCTGCCAGCTCTGGGGTGAACCTGTCAGTGCTCCACTTGCAGGACCTTGTGCGGTAAAGCCCACGGGCATCACTTGCTGCTCCTGCTCCCAGGACCTGTGCGCCTCTGGCCGCACGACGGCCTTGGGCGAGGACTCCAGCTTTGGCTTCACAGAGCTGAGTTCAAACCCCGCTTTGCTCTGACCTCAAGGTCACTCTGACCTTTGGAGCCCCAGAGCCCTGCTCTGCACAATTTGCAAAATTAAAGCCACACGCCTGGGGGGACCCTTAGGAGGGGGTGGAAACGAGCCCCACCCACTGCCCTCAGCCATGCCTGGTGTACGCGTGTGTGTGACACCTGCCTAGGCTGACCCCGCCTCCTCCTGGGTCCCCTCCCACCCCGTCTAGCGCCTGCTCCTGTATAACTGCGACCGCACCCCCGACCCCGCTCTCAGAGGACTCCTCGCTGCTTCAACTTTCTTCCCAAGAGGGACTTCCGGGTGGATGTGGCCCCGCCCCCGGCCCCGCCCCCAGCACCCATCTCACTGAGTCCTTCCCAGCTCAGACCCTCAGCTTCTCTCCCTGCAGAGGGGGAGCAAAAACATCTCTGCTGTGAGGGTACGAGGAGGGAGCGGGCAAGACAGGGCCTGCAGGGGTCCCTGTGGGGGAGCTCCCCCTCCCCTTTCCCAGAGCCAGGCAGGAACTGGGGTGGGGGAGGGGCCAGAGGCCCCACGTGGAGAAAGCTCTGGGACAATCCCTGGTTCCCACAGAGACCTAGAGAGCAGGAGCTCCACAGGGCTGAGCGCTGTTGGTCCTGGAAACCAGAGGAGGAAGAGGAAAGGCAGCCGGGCCCTCGGGCCCCTGGACGGGAGAACCCAGGCGGGTTCTGCCCAGCAGTCAGAGCTCTGCAGGGTCCCCTCCCCCGTGGGGCCACACTGGGCCTCCACCCCTCCCAGGGACCGTCCCAGACACGAGAAGTTCGGAGGCGCCTTCTGCTGGTTGATGGAGCCGAAACTTGCTCTGAGAGGAGAGACAAGTCTCCCTGGGCTATCCGCGCCCCCCCCCCCCCCCCCAAAAGCACTGGGGGCCCCGGAGCCCGAACCCAAGCCCGAACCAGAGCCGGCCCTGACCTCTGCCCTGTCCGGCCCTGTCCGGCCCTGCCCAGCCCTGCCCGGCCCCTGCCGGCCCCCGCCGCCCCACCCCACCCCCACCCCAAGAGATGCACTGTGGCCCCTGGAGCCAGAGCCAGAGCCAGAGCCAGAGCCAGCCCTGACCTCCGCCCTGCCTGGCCCTGCCCCCCCCCCCCAGCAGATGCCAAAAGCGCCATGAGTCCATTCCACAGCTCTCCACAGCTCCCACGCCGCTCCTGGGCGGGTCTCACCCGAGCCTCTGCTGGGCCCCTCTCCCCCAGCCCACAAGTGCCAGCGTGCCTGGGCGGTCACCATGGGCTCCCTGGGCTCCAAGTGATGGCTATGTTCTTCTCTGAATCTCCCTGCATGGTGCAACACCCACCTGTGCTTGTTGACTGAACAACAAAAATAAATCACGCAGTGGCGTTCTCATCACACGGGTCTTGTGAGCAGTGGGGGAGGGCGTTTGACAAACCCAACACGCACCCTGCTTTGCCTGCAGCAGGAGCTCTGGGAGGCGAGGGGGTGGGCATCCAGCCCCATCAAGTGCAGTTGTGCAGGTCGTGCACAGTCCAAATACGGAAGACAACATTCACACCCCGGCCGTCATAGAACCGTGCTAGCTTCAGCACACATGGAAAGGGACTCCGGGAAGTGATGAGCACTTTTCCCTCGTTTGTACAAAGAAGGGGGATAGGCCACGTGACAGGTGCCCACCTCCGGAAGCTACAACCCACGTGGCAATTCTCCCCGGAGCGCTGCGATAGACTGCTGAAGGTTTCCAGGCTCATGCTCACCCAGTGGTCACCCAGTGGTCCCACTGCACGGCACGTGGTGCCCTGAGCAATTGCAGCAGGGACAAGGGGTGGTGGGAACTCAGGGTGGGCCACGTGGTGGGCCCCGAGGCCTCACACCACATGTAGGCCACAGGCGGCATCCTGTGGCTCTTGGCAGTGGCCAGGTGCCACACGGCCTCCAGGCGTCCAGGAGCCAGCAGTGCCAGCCGTGCAGGTCCCTGTGCAGGCTCCCCTGGCAGCCACACCTGAGCCTGGAGGAGGCGCAGAGGCAGAGCCCCGGGAAGCCAGGCCCGTGCTGGCGGAGGAGCGTGGGCACGAGCTGGCCTCCCTGGCTCTCCCTGCCCCAGCCCGCAGCCAGAAGAGCATCACGGGCAGTTCAGTCCTGAGCACCAGGATGCGGGATCCAGGCTGGGGCGGGCCCTGTGCTCTCCCGCCTGCTGGGGCTCAGGTCCATTGAGCTGAGAGCAGGGCCTGGGAGAGCCGCAAGGCCAGCAGTCTGTCAGTCCAGCCATCCCCGCCTGGACACGCGGCTCACTGGGTGCTGTGGGGGGGACGGTGGCCCCCAACGTGACGCCTGCCATCCGCAAACGTGACCTTGTTTGGAAATCGGGCTTTGCGGATGCAGTTAGTTGGGGATGTCGAGGGCGCCTGGATTCAGGGAGGGCCCTCAGCCCAGTGACTGCATCCGCAGACAGAAAGAGGAGGGCGGAGACTCGAGCCATGTGGCCACGGCCCCAGGATGCCAAGGACCACGGGTGCTTAAC